TATACCGCCTATAAGAAGGACTCGGAAATTCTTCCGGTTTGCTAAATTAAAAAGTTACTCGACTCTCCATCCCGTCCATGATACATTCTTTAGCTAGTCACATTTCATGGGAATTTCATTTTGGCGACTGTAACTCCGTAAAAATCTAATGAAAGAAAAGCCTGGAATAAAAGATGTGAAAGTTCAAAATTGGACTAGCAATCGCGAGAATGAAGTTACGAAGTTGCTTTTCAAAGTGACGTATAAATCCTTGACCCGTAATAGGAGACAAGTATAATTTTTATATTTGAAAGAATTTTTATAAAACAATGTTTTACATTCCAACATATGTTTTCGTTTATCATTTCGTCGATATAGGTATAGGTATTTTTTGCAATCAATTTCTTAATGATCCATCAATTGATATATCTGTCTGTTACGCGATAAAAGTAAAATCCGATTAAATTTACGTAGATAATAAACCCACAGTCGTTTCGTCCAATGACCATTGGCTGTATTAAAAATATATTTCTCGTATCTCTCGCTGTGTGCTTTTACTGATAATAATAAGGAACCAAGTATTACGCAATAATCTACGAACGTTAAAACTCTAGTACTCAAGGAACTCTGTTAAAACTATTTTTAAAATAAACTATATTTTCATGTCAGGCTAGACCAACCTGCCATTATATAGAAGATAAAATAACTGTATGATAAGGTAGGAAAGACAAAGGTAAAATGGCATGTGAGTCGCAGTGATATCTCCTTAAATCGCATAGAAGACTAGCGTCTTTTATGAGTCGTAAAACTGCGGTTTCGAGAACCCCATTAACATAACGCGACATCAAGATTGCCAGCGAAAATCCGTAGCCGTCTGTATATGAGAAGAAAATTCGTATTCCTGCCCAGGGTGAAAATTGAGATGCAATATATTAGACTATTAGCCGATAGCGATACTGAATGCGAATCAAAAGCATAATAGAGATGGTTCCAACTCAAGATCCATTACTTGTCGCTGAATAGAAACGGCGCGCGATCCTTTTCAATACGTACAGAGTTACTGCCAAGAGAGGAAAATGTGGCTGAGGGAAGTTGATGAAAAAAAAAATAATAAGGAAATACAACAAAAGTTGTAATTTCATAGACAAAAAAATTTTCGAAAATTTATCTTATCCAATGAAAATGACTCACCACGTCGATGATCTGTTGTAACGTGATACCAAATCTGACTTCGAGAGGTTCACTCTCATTGGCTACTGGTCGCTCCAGAGTGTTGTAATTCGCCAGTAGATAGTTGAGCAGACGTTTCTCGTGCTGGCCGCACGAGCACTCTGTAACAAGCGAAATATTTCATGACGACGATACAAATGATAATTCGGTCATAGTAAAGCGCATGGGATTTATTGATTAATGCATCGTGGTAATAACGCATAGTGATCGATGACGGTAGCGCTTAGGTTAGGACGTTCCCACTTCCCATTTTGATATCCGGTCATCATTAACCCACAGCGTAATGGGTGACTCGGGATAATGGGGATTTTTAATTTTGCCACAGTGACCTCCGGCGCATTATAGGTATATAAATAGGCTGGAACATTCTCGTTGACTAATCCTAAAATAACGTACAATTGACTAGCGGAATACGACAAGAGGTAAACTGGTAATCGGTTAGGCAAACCTAAGCCAACCTAACCTAACACGTCCTGTTACTTGGGCGGGTAAATTGTATCGGAGTACGTGCCATACTCGTAGTGTACTACTCTGGACCATAGAAATTGATTACAGGGAACGCAAGAGGAATCTATAGAACAGTAGAATAATCTGTACTACATACTATCAGCCAACTGAATTCGTTGCACGTGCAGTCATTGAGAGCATCGAATAATATTTAGAGTCTGACAATAAATCCGGGACAGATTCCTGCACCGTGTGGCGTAGAACGGATGAGATCCTCCTGAATTTCGGCATGTGCCGGAAATCCGTGAATAAATGAATGGCTAATGAACAAAATGCTAGTAGATATAGGTATAGGCATAGTGTATCTAAAGCGTAGTAAAATGAGTACGAAGGGGTGAGTTCGGGAACTGGTAACGCCGGCAAACGATCGTTTTCGCGTATGCAAAGCGGCTTTTGCCCATTTCCGGTCAGACTGAAGGGTCGTGGATTTCCCGCCGTCGTTAAAGTACATGTAACCCTTTGTTCGTTGAAGTTGACATTCCGCGACTAAGAAAAGCACTGGCTGGATATAACGGACTTGGCTGAGAGAATAAACAAATCTCAGTGTAAAAACACGAATCAGCTTATGGTAGAGTGACTGTAGTAAATTAGCTGATATAGTAACATAGAAGCTTCTTCCGTTCAGCCAACGAAAACAGTATCTTAGCTCCTCGTAATACGAGTACCAAGATGTGCTCGTAGCATTACAGAAGATCCTAGTAATCCCAGCAGTGCTAATATCCTGTGTGAAGCTCCAGGCTCAAGATATAGCCTATACAAAACCATTGGAATTTGCCCTCACGTACTGTCTCTTACTGTATCTATAGGTAGAAACATACTATACCTGTTACTCGCACGAACAACAAGTGTATAAAGCTATTCGCTTTAATGAAGCTAATAAAAATAGGTTAGAAGCGAAACAACGAACGCTGAATAACGAGGAATTTTTTCAACGCGTATAAATCGTAACGTGGTGTTAAAAGCTGCAGAGAGCTCCGCTTACGAATGACTGAGGAATAAATAAACAGAATTAGCACTTCAGACAACACGTTCGGTAGCACAGTGGTAGGTACGCTGACTTGGCAATCCGGAGGTACCAGGTTCGATTCCCGACCAGGCTAACTAATTTTTCCGAAATTTCTAACCCTCGAGCGCTCTCTGGCGGGCCGAGTTAGACATTAAATATGAAGTGAGGGCGGTGGGGGCTGTATAACTCTCGTTGTAAAATAAATATTGGATTCTTCATATCTTACAATTTACACAAAATTACTAGAAATCGAACAGAAAAATGGACATATTGTTTATATGTGTAACAGTTAAAAAAATCAAGGACATTAAACATATTGCAGTTACAACAGAGATTTCACCACGAGAGTAAAATAAAGAGCTTACGAGTATGTCTGTCTCTACCTTACACACGTGACACCAATAACTCCGTCTTCGTCGCACTCGCCTCAAGAATAACAAACCCCCAAAGCCCCCTCAAGTATTTAAGACCTTCTCCAATATACAGCATTTCATCGCCGCACGAGTGGTGTACGCCGTTTTACAAGATTTGTCAACCATACAAAATAGATAATTCAAGATAAGGGACAGAAGGTTAAAGATGCTAGACACACCAGACCAAGCACGAAGATGTGCCTCTGTATAATATATGGAAAGGACACTTCATGCATCGTCTAAGCCTGTGAACATTTTAGAAATTAATTGAAACGCGAGTTTTCCTGAATGACGTAGGTCATGCGTAGATTCCAAAAGGGGGATACTTAGTACGGGTTATGCTCGGGACTGGAAATAGGGATATTGAGTTGGACGTGGGATGCAAAAGACGCAGCACCCCGTTTGAGGGTTAGGTACGACGTGTTTATGATCTCGTGTAGGCGACGGTTATAACGCTAAAAATAAGTGGTCACGATACATCATGAATGAAAAGTGGGTGTCTTTTTCGCAGTCTGGCTGTGACTATATGAAGCCCGCGGGTTCGCGGTATGAATGGTAGCCCCGGTAAATACATTGACAAGACAGGACCCTAGTACAAGCCAATCCACCTGTACGTAAATGCAGGTGCAAAGTGTGTGATGAGGCGCAAACGTACGTTGCGATCACACTCCTGTATAAAGATCTATATATATATATATATATATATATAAACGTATTTAAGTGAGCAACATACTCGCGCGCACGTACATCTACTAGGCAGAGTCGCTCGGCTTAAAGCCTCTCACACAGGGTTGCCAAGGGTGGCGCGATGAAGCGAATCTACGAACGAACGAACGAGAGAACGAGGCGCGGCGAGCTTGGAAGCTCCATTGATCCACAAAGAATATATATACCGCGTACGAAGTAACTTTGATGACGGTGTAAACAGTGCTTATACCGAGGATATATGTATACGTAGTATATGCGTATATATAAAAGGCAGTCGGTAAGGTAGGAATTCCGTATGTTTATCCGTTAGGATTGAAGATGACGAAATTAACTGAGGGACTGGTTAAAGTTGGAGTAGGTTTCACCAGGAGCAACTTGGAGACCCGATGTATTCTAGCGTGGAGTTACGACGGGAAGATTCGAATCCTTAGGATCGATATTATCGTCGATAACAAGCTGTCGTAATCCACGTTACTGCCTCTGAAGTCAGCTTGACGAGGACGTAAATAGTTTACAGGTACGTGCACTCGGAGCGCCATTACGTTTCGCATGAGTTAAATCGGTCGATGTGGACCGATATCTGTAAGGAGGATTTGCTTGGGGGAACGCTGTTAAGCGGAACTGTAGCGAATGGCGTGGTAGCCATTGCGACGTTGCGCATCGCTTCTTCGAGTCTGTTTGAATATTCATAGATCTTAACATGGAGTGATTTTAAGAACCCAATCTCTACCTTAATGTAGTTCATGGGCTAGAACTATGCAGTAGCTTGAAAAGAGCAGTGCACTTACAGCGCTTATTCACAATTTTAGGAACGATGTAAAAATTAAAAAAAAAAAGTACACGAACCCAGTAAGTGTTTTGCGGATAATAGAAATCGCTACTTCATATATCTGCATAGACATTTACAGTGTACACGATGTAGAGTTAGAGAATTCGCAAACAGAATATCTCAGTTTTTTTTTTCGCGAACCTGGAAAATATCTACCGTGCACGTGGGTCTCCGAGAAAAGCATCTTAAAAATCTCGCGCTTGGTCGCATTCTCGAATAACCGCTTAACAGGAGCACGAGAGTCAACTCGACAGAAGGGATTGCCGTCTGCAAGAATGATACGTAGCCGTGAATACCTAGGGACTCGGTGTAAGCGATTGGTATCCTAGTGAAATACTGAAGTTTCCGGTTTCACGTAAACACGTAAGAATAATGTAAATAAATGTTTGTCTCTAAATGGGTCCCTTGGGTATCGTTCCCATGGGCGGGACGATGCACGAGACTTGCTTCTAGGCCGGGCAGGATACTAGGAACGTACGTAGATCTTGTATTGAGTAAAACTGGGTACACGTTGTATACAGTAATATATGGCATTACATAATATAAGGTAGGTAAAAGCGAGGTAAGCAACGTAAATCGTACCTTCTCCCGAGGAAACTTATCTCATCGATCTTCCTTCCCACGTACGTTTGGTACGCAAGAGCTTTTAACCGGCCACCCGTGTAGTGGCTGGTCCCTTTGCATGTTGGACGAAAATGCTACTGTATACTCATTTATACAGTGGCCACTTGGCAGGGTAGCCAAATCGACTTACTGTCAAACAAAAGGGCCTCGGTACGCTGCCCAGAGTCTGCTGCTCTGAGGCTTATGAAAGAAAAACAACCTGGGGACGCACTTTGTGAATGCAGTGGTCTTTGACAAAGTACTATTCTTACGGTGTATGAACAGCATGCGGTACACGGTGTCAAAAAGTCTTACAAATCGCTATGTTGGTACGAGTGATTTTTAATTTTGAACAAAGTATAGATCAGTATAGTCGATCGTGCGATCTGGTTGAAATCGATAAAGAATAAAATATTATTATGCATCGACGGTGCGTATACGCGATGCCTGGAGTGAATGACGCGACGATTCAGAACCTCTTAAAATTCTGCTTCGGCGTCGCCCGAGATCTTCTCAGTCGTCAAACTCCATTTAGCCGTCCCCTTGGCTGGAAGTGACGTCAAGAAGGTTAGGTGCAGGGGCAGCCGAAGAATATCGAAGTAGAACGTGGCGGGCGTGTATCGGTTACGACAGTAGGAAAGCTTGCCAACAATTGATTTACACGTGTGCACGTGAGGAAGTGCAGGAAGAAGAAGAAGAAAAAAGAAAAGGAGCAGGAAGCCCGTGGCGCAGATATTCCAGTCGTGTAAGTGTCATCCAGATTGAAAGCCACGGATGTACGATTCACGAGGTGGCTATCCGACGACTGGTAAAATCTATAAATCTTGGAAATAAAACGGTGAAATAAGATTTCTCCACGATTCTAAATCACCAGCTCGAGGACGTACCGAAATGATCCATAGGAATACTCAAGTATACGCATTGGGTAAATTCATGACAGTGCGACGATCATCGCTTACAGTGATTACCCGGGATGCCGTTGGATAGGTTTGGTGGATGCCTGATTAAAGCCGTATTTCGCAATGCACTACGTGG